ACAGATGGTGGAAGAAACCTGTTGTCTAGTAATCTAAATAGGCCACTTCTTGGACGACAGCATTCTGTTTTTTTTTACATTTTACAATTTGAAGCAAATGTTTAATGTCTGGAAAAACTGGGAGATCTTGCTCACTGCCTTAACATATTTTACAGTAACATTATAGTCATCAATATCCATTGAGCTCTATTCTTCAGCGAATACATTTCCTGCAAATTCGAAATTAGATCTTTCTAAATGTTCATCAATTGTAACGCCACGCTCATCCAAATGAGACCCAAATTGGTCATGAGGCAATACTAAACCAGCCAGTTCGCGACTAAGAAGAGCCATTCTGCGCTCTACTCTGTTATACGCACTTCTTCCAGGAGCATTCGTAGCTAAGAACAATGCATCGAAAACCTGTGGCTTAAAGTGTTGTATACCGAACCCTATGACTTTTTGGTAACGCGGAGTTTCATCTGGCCCTCTATCAACCGTCATGATTACCTCTGGTTTTACTAGGCCATGATCAGTCTTAGCTAATGGTCGAAACTCCTCAAGTTCGAGAAGCTTCTGGAAATCCTGAGCATGAGTATTAGTAGTAGATGAACTATGCTTTCCACTTCGAATAGCGATGTATGTTGGTCCAGAATATCCAACGGCTAGCGGTTGTAATAGCTATTGGAAGCGATTTTAGTACCAGCATAAACAGATGGTATTAATTTATGACGCCCAGCGATTACCCAATCGTGATCAGGCATTTTAATTCTATATTCCATGGGCATTACAAGAGGTGCTTGCTTATTTGCCGCAGGTACGCCAAGCTCGAGCTTTATCTTCTTGAGATATGAAAAATGATCTGGTCCAATTATGGATGCTATGCGCTCTAAATAATGGGTTGATGTTTCAGCGAACTTGCTATCTAAGTGATGATCAGTTAAAGCCCGAATAAGCTAAACAGGGACTGTCGATACACGTCTTCGGCCCCTGCAAAATTAGATTTTCTGGAAATCAAGCGAAGATATGTCCTACTGCGACTAATGTCAAATCCTATTTTACGTAATTCTTGTGTGAGTTCATCAAGAGTTTTCACGCTCTTCAGACATAGTCTCTTTTTTATTTCATGATTTTCATGACAAATATCTTCTAACTTTCTTTTCATACAATCCCTGTGTTTCTTCTGGGCATCTGCCTTTTGACCCTTGCTCTTTAAAGACTGGTTTGCTGTTTTTTATTTCCACGCGCAACTTAAGCAAGGCTTGGCATAGTATCTCTGGCATAGTACAAAGCATTTAGATTTTTTTTCGAGTAGAGCAATCTTATTTTTCATAGCTTCCTGAGATGGTTTTGCTCTCTGTTTATCTGCATTTTCATTATTTTCGCATTGCTGTTGTGATTCATTACCGGGTTTCTTCCTGGTTTGTAACATTTGAAGTTGGCTATATAATTTGTGCTTTTTTCTGCAGGTTTACAGGTGTTCGTTGCCTAAAAATAAAAACTTTCTATGGGTTCTGCTAAAGATTTTCTTATTAAGGTACATAAATACGAAGTATGCAATAAAAAACTGCAAGCCGGGAATCGATTCCATCACATACAAAAAACTAACACCCTATAATTTGTAACCAATTTAGTCAATTATAAGAAATAAATCAATATAATCAATATTATCTCTATACTTTGAGATAAACCTTAATATTTCCTAATTATAAAACGTCTAAATTATTGTTACAAAATGTGAAGAGAAACTTTTTGGCGATTTCTAATATTTTTAATGTAGCACTCATATATATCTAAAATGATTTCGTCACTCACCTTGGAAGAAATGTAGTAGATTGGAATTCTTCTTACGTTCTCTTAGATACAATTATATCTAGTCCTTATCGGACGTTGCTTGTAATATATAAAATCGCCACACTTCGGTAACTAACTTTTGTACATTTTGTACTTTCGTACTTGTATGGGATTTTTTAAAACTTTCAAACAATTTTTGGTATAACTTGGAGCTGTCTATTTGAAACGATATCTTATTTAAACATTATACTTTGGCTAATGGAATTAATGTTAACACAAATGTTAGTGAAAGTGAATAGCGCACGGAAATTCTCCTATTCGGTTCTAAAACGAGTGACAAACATATGCTTTATTTGAGGGAGCACCCGAAAATGTGTTTCGTTTTCAAGCAAAGACAATTTGAGGGTTGCCGTTCGTGTAAAAAAATAATTGACGTAATCATCATCTAGACTCCCCTACCCCTCATGCCATCCAAAATAAGCAAAGCAAAGACCTCCCGCCCCCCATTGTGCTTATGTAATACTTGAACGGCCCAAACGGCCACACACAAAACAATTACTCAATTTCAAAATATAATATATATGTACATATGTACTGGTGATTAAAAACTCAAGCGTTTACGTCGGAGTATTAATAAATTAAAATAAAATATCAAGAGAAACTGTATAAAGTGTTTATTCGATGCTATTCGATACTATTTTGTAAACGTGCCAAAATAGAATCGAAAATTTTACGTTTTCTTATGAATTCTCGTCGTGAAAATCTTGGAAATATCTGTTTGGCTGACGCAATATAATTTTCTAAAAATATCATAATAAAAAAAAAAATATATATATATATAACAATAAGAAGTTGGCTGCTGTGTCAAATTCAACACATGAAGCTTGCTGCAATAATGGCAGTGGCTGTGAATTTAGAATTAGAGCTAAACTGAGCAGTACTGCCAGCTGCAACTGCTGTTGTTGTTGCTGTAGCGGCTATGTAAACCTTGCGTGGGGACAGGCTTAAAATAAACATAAGTCACCGAGATCATCTAACGGGATGCCCAGGAAACGTGCTGTTTCTACGTTGTTTCGGACCGGAGGGTGAGAGTGTCGTGCAGAGACCCTTCTAATGCTAAGCACATGTTGGGTATGTTGGGGTTGAATCTGGATAGGTTGGAGTTTAACCTGCTACAATATCCAGACCTAAGTTGTGTCAGTGTCACGCAGGTCGCCATTACGTCATTTACGGGAAGGAAATCTTTGAAGGTGTTGACTGACTCTTGGTGAATAGCGTTCAGTGCTTCTCTGTACCCCGTCCTGCCCAGCGGTTGGTGCACATGTTGCTAAATTGTGTCCTTTAAATCTAGTACTCACTTTCTGATGTGCCTAGGTGGAGATTCAGCTTCTTTTAGGTGCCAATTGGTATGCTCCCTAAGGTAACATCTCAATAGAAACTGCTTGCACAGCAAAGCAGTATGATCCTAAACTCACTCATAGCATAGATGCTTCATTGTGCGACTGATGCTCCGGCGACATCAGGAGGTTTCCTGTCGCAGTCCTGAGGTCGGTGTTCTGGCAAGCCTGTAACTTCTTCACCTGCGTCTCGTTCGTCCCCAGCGGCCAAATCGGTGTAGCTTAGTTTACGACCGGTCGGGCAATTGCATTGTAAGTTGTCAGCAAAGTTTCCTTGCCTTTAGCCCAGGTGCTGCCGGCTAGCGCTTTGAGTATTTTGTTGCAGCTCTGGAGGTTTGTGGCAATTGCGGTCGTATAAGGAATGAAGGAATGCAGACTGTCGAGTCTGACTCCCAAAATCATGGTGTTATTTTTGGCCGGAGTTTTCACGTCCTCAACCCTCACATTTGATTTGAGCCTATATTCTATCATCCAGCTGGTAAAGAGGGTAGCCGAGGATTTCGTCGGTTGTATTTTAAGTTTATAATGTTATATCCGGCTGAGCGAGCGGTCAACTTTAATCTAGATCGCAACATTAGGTGCTCCCGGCTCATGCAGTCGACTATCTCGTCGATCTGTCGCTGGAGTACTTTGCAGTTAAACTGTAACAGTCAAGTCTGTCTCAAGGGGACATTTGTGATTCGGAGGGTGAGGAAGTTACGTTTGGATGTAGTGTGTTGTTGCTTGGTTGGCGGCGTTGTTGTACATACAGGCGAGGGCAGACTCTTCCAGCACTCCAGCCAGAGCAAGAATTACATCTGACTGAGGTCGTGTTCCGACGTACTATGGTCTGACACATGGAACATACTGTCAAGTAACGTGTAGACCACTTTCTGTGGGTCCTAAGGCCTGGGCAGACCTTAAGGTGACTCCAACCATTTATTGCACCTAACCGGCTTCGACGTCAGCCCTGATGAGAAAGATTCGCAACGTAGATGCGAAGTGTTGCTCCGTCAACTCCGGTGCGTAGGATCGGCTGTATTGAGAGTTGTAATTGTGTGTCGCTTAAGTGTTCCTAAAAAAACAGTTGATTATTGTATTATGGGGTTAAGGGAGCTTCTGTTAGCTAGAAGCATTTAAAAATATGAAGAAAACCCGAAGCCAGTAAAAGCAAAATAACAAAGCAGAGAAGAAAAGAAACAGAGCTGAAGGAGCGATAAAGTAGAGCTGGTAGTCAGTGAGAAATATTGTAATAAGAAAATCTTGAATCTCCTTTCTTTGCAAGATACAAAAATTCTAAAGGTAGTTTAAATTTTTGACACTTAACGTCTGAGCGAAAATTTTTTCATCTTGCCACTTTCAAAATATTTAAATTTGAGATTTTTCTAAGCAGATACTTTCTAAGCAGATACCATAGTATTGAAAACTCCAACAATCGGATTGACCTACAATTAGTACTAAACCGCCTCCGAACGGCTAGTTTTTTTATGAGAAGCTTTATTTCGTGCCAGAAATACACTCGGAGGGGTTGACATTCCCTGATGAGGGGCGACTGCAGATAGATAATTTAGCTTAATTTTTTATTTAAATTAATTTTCTATAACTTTTTGGAAGTTAGTACGAAAACAGGATTTGAACACGAACCTTCCGAATGGCACTCGGTTACCGCGGCCGCCGGCCCAACATACAGAAGTTAATATAAGCGTGCGAAAAAATAAAATTAAATGCCTATTTTTGTATTCTTTTTATTTTTTATTTGCGAAAATGCAGAAGATGCGAACAAAAACTAACACGTTTGTAATCACATAGTCATGAAGTCAACTGCGAAGAGGGAATAACACTGCCATTAAATTATTGTTTCATGCTATAAAGATATCTATATTATAAACATATTTACATATTTTACTTTTTTGGCTTGGCACATATCGAAAAAGACCGCCAAGGCCCCAAAAATCATTTTTAATTTAAATCGTTTTATTAAGTTTTTTATTTTTTAATCGTATTTTGTATCCAATTTACAAAAGAATCAACTCGGGTATATACACCAGGAAACCCTTCTTGGCCACAAGGTGTCGGGCCAAAAGAAACCACGCCAGCCAAATAATATGCATCTTTTCCATTATTCAGTTGTGTAAGCATTAATGGTCCACCGGAGTCGCCACGACAGGTGTCGATACTTTTCTCTCCACCAGCACACATTTGTTTATTGCCCAATTCAATTCTTGTATAAGTACGATACTTAACTTTGCATTTTTCAATGTTTTGACCTCTTACCAATGCTTTAAGCTTCATCTTACTACTACTAGCGGTTTCGGTTGCTCCCCAACCAGAAATCTCCATAGTAACATTTTCAAAATTACTTTGTAACGTATCCGCATTTAATGGCAAGCAAATTGGCAAAATGAAGCTGTTGAAGTTGACTTTTTCTTGAAGCCTTAGCAGGGCTATGTCATTTTCTTGTGATCTTACATTGTACAATGGGTGGCAAATTTCTTCCTCGATTGCAGCATCTACATATTGATCTGAGCAAAGTGAATTGCCTTGGCTATCGATTTGGCAATCTGTTTGCGTTTCCAAATTCCATTCACCCAATCGAACCCCAGAGAGACGCCAACTAGCTGGAAGTACACGCTTGCTAACGCAATGTCCTGCTGTCAAAACGTAACGGTCATTGATGAGACTGCCACCACAATGAAAGCCAACTTCATTTTGTGCTGCAGAAGGGATAACAAGTTTCAAAGATTAATAATTCAATTGTGAGAGAATTTTACCAATACATAAAGTATAGGGGAATTAATGTATTGTATATATCATGTCCTAAATACAAAAGTGGCTCAACTCGAAAAATTACAAATACAATTAAAATTTCAATATTATAGTAAACTCAAATAGTTAAAGATGCTTTTATTGGAGTTAAGCATGCGTTCCTTAATTGTCTAATGATAAATATACTCTAAAGATATTCAGTTATCCCGTTTGTGTATTTAGTGTGATATATGTTCGTATGTATGTATATGTACATACCACCTTTGTAGTATATAAGTAGTACAGTCCAAGGGAATTCATCAATATCTGTCGCAGTTCCTCCAAAAATGCGTTCTGTTAATCGAATTTTTCCACATTTCGAAGGCGAAGGTAAATCTCCTCGATTACTTGGTGCAGGATCAGGGCAGCATACCTGTAACAATAGAAATAAAACTTACATTGTAAAGAAATGTCTATTACGGTACACGAATTGCCCGGACTTTGAAGATAAGGTACAAGCTTTACGGTGGAAAAGCAAGCTTAGAGAAAGGGAAAGGCTTGCGGAAGATCTATGATCCTCTACAAAATAGGTCGTGTGGTCCGGATGGATAAGAATACTCCAGCTTTGAAAGCTTTCGATGCAATACTCGCCGATGAAAAAGAGAAAGTGGAAGACTTTAAATTCGTTGGAAAGACCAGGTGGAAAAAGACCTGGCTGTACTTGGTATTTGCAACTGACGCCAAACAGAGAAAAAAGAATTGAAGGGCGCAATGTTGTTCCGAGTTAACAATGATCGCGCAAGTGGTTTCCAAGCCAATAAAGAAGAAGAAGGAAGCACAGCTTTAAAGAAATTTCCCATCAAGCACATAGACCATAGTTCTAATGGATGGTAAGATATAGTCCCTACTCATAATGATTTATTCGAGGATTATTCAGGTGTCAGTAAAATCGTTTTTGTTTAGGCTACAACCCTTAAGGAAATTTGGATAATATACACCATTAAAGTTTTAAAATATGTTTTCAAAGCTATCATTTTTTATTTCAGTAACTAACTTATATGTAATTGCTTTGCTTTGTAACCGTTGAAGCGATTTTCAGCCGAGCTCCTCCTCCGATTAATGGTGTGCGTCTTGATAACCTAAAGTTTTTTCTAAGCCGTCTCCAAATAATGGGTTTTTATAAGGAGCTCTTTTTATCTCAAGTCGGAAGTACACTCGGTCGTTGCCTTTCGAGTGGTGACCGCTGGGGTATTTACGTAGGATTCCATATATTTAATTTCGTGCAAGAGTAAAAGTCAAAAATTTCGTGTTTGCTCGTAACGCCCATGCCAGCTTAAGGTATTCCAACAAATTTTCGTTGCATTTGTGCAACCGATTGAACAAACTCAATTTGTACAGAGTTGCGTTCGCTTTTAGAATATATATACATATATACAATTCCAAAAAGGGCGAATTGTTCAAATGTTATAACTTGCTATTGAACAGTGAACTGAAGACTTTCATTTTAAGAAAAAGTTAGTGAAAAAATTTTCAGAACTTTTTGAAAATCATCAATTTCAGTAACTGACCTTATACATTTTTATCTAAACTTTCATTATTTCGAAATATCTTATAAACGAAAGTCAGACTTTTTCTGGCACAATATAGTGACCAAAAGCAGGGTAAAGGCTAAGTAGATTGAAAGAAATTTTTTCTGACTGTGAAATTAACAACAGCTCGATGCTAGCATGATTCGGCTTACGTAATATTTCACAGTTGTATTGTAGATACCTATATAAGAAACTACTAAGATTTTAAATGAAAATAATTATAGTCAAATGTCCGATGTAGTTTAACCCAAAATGGTACCTAAGCCTCTAGAGACCGGAAAAAAGCTCCGGACCCCAGCAAGGGGTCTGCAGGCCATCGTACGCAGATAAGACAACACCTTTCAACTAAGTCATCATAGATGCTGGATGACTCGGAGGGAGCATGTTATCTACGTAGTAGACCTTTGCTGCTGGCAACACTTAGTGAATGATCTTCAGACAAGATCTGTTTTCAGAACGACACTGTTCGATTCGAAAAAGGGCAACTCTTTTGAAGACGTCGCAGCCATCCGAATCCTCCAACCCTAATATCGCTAAATGAAAGCAGGCGAGAGAAGAAGCAATTGCAAACCTACCTTTCAACATTAGGCCATTTAACATTCAAGAGTTGTATGAAGCAAGGCTAACAGCTAACCGCCTAAACGTGGGGTCCACTAACTAAATTGTGAAGAAAAATATATTAGAGCTTGTAAAATGCGATCGAGAAATAGAAGCAGCAGGTAGTAGGTAACAGCCACTTACACTTTCACTACTAGGGAAGAAAGCGGGCAAAAAATGCGTTAGCACATGCAAAGAGACAATTAATAGATTAACTGCCCCAGACGTTTCAGAGTGTAATGTGCTTATTAGAATTGCATGCTTATTATAATTACATGCTTATTATAATTACATGCTTCCATATCATAAGCCTCACAATAAGTTATCAACTTATTGCGGAGGTCACGCTGATGGCCAAAGGGTTCGGATGACTGCGCAGTTTTGATTCGTACTTTTGTGCAAAGATTCTATTATCTTCTTTAATGGTAGGTATATTTAGACCTCTAAGTATATTTTTATTACGTGTGCATCATGATGTACCCGTTATTATTCTCAATGTTTTCGACCGGAACCTCTGTTTATATTAAGGTATGTCGCGCAAGCTGTGCCCCATCACTCGATTGCATGCATCCATATCACTTTTACAGTCGATAACAATATATATAAAGAAGGCTGAAGCAGGTTTATTGCTTAAAAGCTAATTTTAACTAGAAAATTTAAGCACCAACTGCATCTTTTTGGAGGAAACATGTGTTTCCCAGTTAATCGTCTATCGAAATGAATGGCAAGATATTTGATATTTGATTTTGTTAGCTTGTGGGAAAGGCACCATGTCAAGCTTGGCAGTAGAGCATGAATTTGAATTAGATATAAAAGTTATGTGCTTGCACTTATTTATTTTAATTTTTATTCCGTTTTCACGAGATCGTTTATTTTTACATTAAATCGCATGTTGGATACCTATGATTCACAGATATTGTGGAACGTGTTAGGTAATGATGGTTCAATTTCATTAAATACTCGACTGACAATACTCTCTGAATTCGAAAGCTTTCCTCATTTCATTTGTTATACGATTTACTTGTTCAATTGTTTTTCACGAAAGCAAAATTGATGTGTATAAATTATATAATTTCCATGGAGAAAAGGATACAATTTTGATTGCAGCAAGGGAACAGGCTGATTGCTTTATATAATGACGGCACCGTAACATTTTTACCTGGTTTAGCTATTAAAATTATCTTGGCTTAATATGGCACTGAAAAGCCAGTGCCAGAGCAGTGCTTAGCAGTTCTTTTAAGATTTTTGGTGTGATATGATCATATCCAGAACATAATAACTCTAGACTTACCAGTAAACGTAAACAAACATACAATTGTGACGTCATATCTTTCAAGACTTTCCTAACTCCAACCTCACGGAGGTTTGAAAAAACTAAAACAATGATCTTCCTCAATGATTTAGATACGGCCTGCCTATTTCTTTCAATCAACCATAAACTTATTCGGGTAAGGATTGCTAACTACTGAAATAGTCAATTGCACTCATAAAATGCATTGCAGTGGTTAAACTAAAAAAAACGCACCAAAAGTCAAGGTAATGTCGGTCTGAAATTATCGGCGGGAGCTCAGACGGTGCATATATAATATTGCCACCCGACGATTTGACAAAAAATTCAGCAAATACCATCGAAAAACTTTTGTAACCAACTAATACGGCTCTTTGCTTTTTCCTAAATTCAGATCTTTTTGAAGAGTTTTACTTACAACTAGAAAAATGATAAGGGAAATATGCCGCTTTGACAGGTGTTTCGGTAAAACAATTACCTAAACGTGGAAGCTAACAAAACAAATTGTTTTTAGATAACAACAGTAATGCTCTATACTGCCCTAGTCCGGATTAAAATTATTATTTTGAATTTAATAGTGTAATTAATGATTAAATATAAGAACACTGTCATAAAAGTTATAATATAATTTAATTTTTGTTTCGTCTTTTGCCTTTGTCTTTATAGGATAATCATGATTTTGAAATTAATTTCTTACCCGATAACCATTTTGTCCGCACACGCTTCTGGTTATGAAATTTTGTTCATTTGTAGATAAATTGTCTTTGATCAAAGGTAATAAGGAACCACACTCGCGTATGGATATGCATTTGCCCTCTCTTCCATCCGGGGTTTCGCAATCTATTTTGTAGCAACACACACATAATATAGAATAGAATGTTTGTTTACATTATACATATTAAACAATATATTGCACAAATATTTTCTAATATAATTTAATAAAAGAAAAACTGAAAATGATAAATAAATAAAATTATGTTAAGTGTCTAATGAGATCGCCGATTTAGTTTTATACGTAAAACCGCCACAACTGGTTGGAACTACTCCACGCTGGTCAGAAAGCTTGCGGATAATCCGCGTGTTTTTCAAACCAACTTGCAAATTCTTCGCTAAAACAACAAGAAGTGCATATACTTCATTGCAGAAATAACAACAACAACGCTAAAGAAGGGAATAGTAAAAAGGACTTATGTAATTCAAAGCATAATTCTAAGTGGTCATTGAAAAAAGCGCATAGCGCTCGCTCCTATAGTAGTACTGAAGATTAATAATTTATACAATGTTGTATTGACTTTTAGAAACGATTTTAATTTGACTAAAAAACGAATTCGTAGATCATTATTCAATCCCACAGAGATCATGCATATTTTATTCGCCGTGCGCACGGCCTGTGCAAGTATCAAACTAAATTATAACATGACTATAAAGAAAGCAAGTTTTATATTTATTTAATCGGGCTCTCCACTGCATAAAAAGTCCAAGCGAAAAAAATCCACAATTACGTTTTGGTAAATTACAAACGAAAAATAATATTTATCAAGAAAGGGACTTGAATTATACTAGCTGATCTATTTCTTAATCAGCTATAAACAGAAAAATTGAATGATAATAGATTTGTTAGCCTTGTAGTGATAAATATTTACGTCAAATCTACCGCTACTTTTAAAATGACTGATATCAGAGAGTTTTACCAATGCAAGGAATGGATTCCTTTGATTTTGGGTTCAGAACTACCTTGTCCTCTTCCTGATCTCAGACTTGGTAACACAAAGTTTCCCATCCAGAACGGTAAATTTACACTTTTTTACATAAATTTTGGAGTTCTTCGAAAGTTAAGTGAATTCCTTGCGATGTCTTCAAGTTTCCTTCATCCGAACCTCGAAATTTAAAATTATAAAGATCTTGGTTGCAGAAATATGCCTGGTTAGCTTATTCAGCCAAAGATGATGGGGTCTTCTGTAAATGCTGCTTGCTTTTTTCTGTAAAAGAAGGAGGAGTTGCAAATCAAATAATGTGCGAGTTAGTATTGAAATCTTTCAAAAATAGTTGTATCGGAATTGTTTGCTGCTCAAGGACATAATTTTACGTTTCAGAGTAAGCAGTTTCAGACAAGTTAGAGAACATTTAGGTTTATGATGCAGCGAGAACGGAAAGCAAATCCATCGAATATTTATGGAGACAATTTTTTAAACCTGTTAAAGTAGGATCGAAGTGCAAGGACGGAAGAAGATGAGTCCTTGTGAAATATACTACAGCACAAATTTGGTGTCGGATTTGTGGTGGGAGAGAGTCTCCGTGAAAAGTAGTGTCATTCACCTCGGTGGATGAAGGTCTCGCCAAAACCCGCATCAAAGCAAAATTTTTTAACATGTCTTTGATTTGCGCCCACGCTCCGACGAAAGATAAGGACAATGTGACCAAGGATGCCTTTTGCAAGCGCCTCGAGCACATTTATGAGTGCTTCCACCGCCGCAATGTAAAAATTGTGCTCAGCGACTTCAACGCTAGGGTTTGCAAAGAAGGTATCTTCGGCACAACAGCCTCCACGACTAAGCATCCTCAAATCAGTTGAGGCTGATCGACTTCGCTGGTGCCCGAAATAAGGTTGTCTGTAGTACTAGATTCCAGTACAAGAAAATAATCAAGCTACTTGGCTGTCTCCTGATCGAAAGACACAAAACCACATCGATCATGTTGTGATAGACGGAAGACAACGTGCCTACCCTCCAAGGATTCAACATCGCCTGGGACCACTATCTTGTTGTAGCGAGGATACGCACATGCTTCTGTGTATCAAAGAATGTCCGTCAACAAACACAAAGAAGGTTCGACGTCGAAAAACTTGTAATCACAATTGCCGAACTTGATATGATATAACTCCCTACGTACCGCCGCCACGAAAACAGTTGGTTTCCGGGAGTGCCAAAAACGGGTTGGTATGATGAGGAATGTCGAACCGCAGTTGAGAAAAACCAGACTGCCTACCTCTCAACCATGCGATCGACCACAAACGTGCGCGGGGCGGTACTGAGAGTTGAAGAGAGAAGCAAGACGCATTTACAGACACTAAAAAAAGAGCGCTTCCGAAATGCGTGACCATAAAGAGCTTGAGAAGCTGGCCGACTAGAGTAATGCTAAAAAATTCTATGGAAAGATACGGGGCTAACGGAAGGTTTCAAGACCGGAGCAAACTCTTGTAGGACCCAGAGGAATAATATAGTAACGTATGTACAGAGTATAATAAATTTATGGAGGGAATACTTCTCCATCCTACTGAATGGTAGGGAAAATGAAATATCCGGCGATGGTGAACCCAAAATCTCAATCGAAGACGATGGAACAGACGTACCACTACCTTACCATGTCGAAGTTCGAATAGCGATTTCCCCCCTAAAGAACAACAAAATGATTGGAGCTGACACCCTACCGGAAGACCGTTCACCGTGAATAACTGGTAAGGTACAAGCTAAGTGTGCTCTGTTCAATCCATAAAAAGGGCGATCCCACAGTCTGTGCCAATTACCGTGGGATAAGCCCATAAGTTCGAGTCGAGATTTTTTGTGAAAGACCTGTTGGCAACCGTCAAAAAACTAATTGGAGCGTGGCCTAAGACCTGGTAAATCAACCATTGAATAGATATTCATTATGCGCCAACTCTTGGAAAAGACCCGTGAACGGAGGATCGACACACAACACTTTTTCGTCGACTTCAAAGCAGCTTTCATCAGCACGAAAAGGAGCTGCCTCTGACGCTAGAATTGGCACCAAACGAGGTTTTAGACAGAGTGGCTCTTTATCGTGTGATTTCTTCAATTTGATGCTGGAGACAATAATAATAAGAGCTGCGAGCTAAATAGAGAAGGTACAATCTTTTACAAGAGTGAACAGCTGCTGGCGTACGCCGATGATATTGGTATCATAGGCCGCCGTTAGTTCTGCTTTCTCCAGACTAGATAAGGCAGCGAGGTATATGGGTTTGGTAGTGAACGAGTACCAGACGAAATATCTGCTTTCATTAAAGAAGCAGTCATCGCATTCGCTACTTGGCTCCCACGTCACTGTTAACCGCCATAACTTTGAAGTCGTAGATAATTTCACCTATCTAGGAACCAGCATTAACACCAATAATAGTGTCAGACTTGAAATCAAACGTAGAATCAATCTTGACAAACAGGTGCTTTCTTGGATTGAGTAGACAGTTAAAAAGTAAAATCCTCTCTTGGTGTACGAAAACCAAATTCTGCAAGTGGATCATCATACCCGTCATACCATATGGGGCAGAAGTCAACGATGTCAACAGCTGATGAGTCTGCCTTGGGAGTCTTCGAGAGAATAGTTTTGGAACGATTTTTGATTCTATAGGCAGTGGCAGTGGAAGACGATGGAACGAAGAGCTGTACGAGATATTTGGGATGAATGTCGCGCTAAAATAAATTCGGCTATCAGAAAAAATATGTGAAAACATGACTTCTAATAAGTTATATTATATTATATATTATCTTGGTTTTCATAAAAATTTCAACGGCTTATTCGTTGAGAGGGATCAGCCTTCCCGAAACTTTTAAATTTTGCTTGTAAAACAAGATAAAATTTGCATTATTTCTTTTTTTGCAAATTTAAGTAAGTCAGCAATGATAACAATGATGATCTAGTGCATTCATTTATTAACATTCTTTCAAAGTTTTAAAATTTTTCATTTAATATTTTCTGAGAAAAAAAAATTTAATAAAATGTTGCAGTTTTTTCAATTAAATATTGAAAATGAACCAATTAACTTTCAAAAAAAAAAAAATGTTTTTCTTTGACTTTATATCAATACCTAAAATATTTTGCACTACTTCGTTTTAATTTTCCTTCTAGCATGAAAATTAATGGATCCGTTTTAGAAATTTCTACTCAGATGGTAGTATTTCGCCGCATCAAACTGGGATTTTTTATTTTAAAAAGAAGTAAATAATATATCATATAAAATTTTTTTTTTAATATCATAAGACAATGCTTCCATTTCATGGTTCGTTGAATACAGTTACGACAGCCGTTGACGTCACCGAACCAACTTCGTCATATACCTAAGTACCATTTAAAAAAAAAAACAATAACCTGCTACAATATCGCTTCTCTGTTTTAATTTTTCAGAAAACAATAATATGAATTAATATGAATTACTAACACAATATTTTTTTTAAATTTTTTGTCAATAAAAACCCACTGAACATTTTTCACCGCTTCGAGTGTTTAAACACGATTTTTTCACAAAATAGGTATATTCTATTTCCCAAAATCTCGTTAGCAGATAAAGAAAAAATATTATTATAATTTAAAATTTTTTCAAAATTAAAATATATTTGTTCAAGATAAAACTATTGTAATGCAAGGCTTTGGAGTATTATTCAACTTATTAAAAATGTACAAACAGGATTAAGTGTCGGGATCAACTAAATAGTAACCATCTGTTTTAGAGATCATTAAAGGATTATTTAGATTTTATTTGAGAGCAGACTCTTTTCAGACTTTGGTTACGAAAATTTTTAATTGGGGCCTAGTTTAGTAATCTAATTCCAGTTATTAAGCAGTTTCCAGACTCAATATACATTTATTATTAGTGCCGAGATGGACAATATTACTACAACCCCAACAGTGACATGGGAACAAAGTCGCGATTACGCTCCGTGTTTACCTGCTCTCTTGAGAAAGCAGGGCCAAAACGCGTTTGTCAAGGCCAATGATATTAATAACATCGGCATTCGCCAGCAATTGTGTGTTCGTGTAGAATATTGTATCTTGTTTATTTAGCTTTGCTACTGTTATTATAATATCTCGAGCATGATGATTATTTTCTCCACTTGAGAAAACATACGATAAAAATCCCTGTTTAAAATCTCGTTAGGTACCGAACGGCTCGGAGAGGTCCTTTTTAATTCTGATTGTGCTTCTGGTATAAGTTTTGCAGGGATAACAAATTCAAACATATTGGGGTAGAGATTGCACTAAAATCTGTGGAAACGTGGTTTGAATCGATCCTTTTAAGATGGATATTTTCCAAGATTTGACGCATGGTGAATATCTGGTCGAAAGACGATTTACTAGGTCTAAAGAAGTTACATTTACATATGTACGTACGTGTATGTATAATATTTACTTTCACATACATATAATGATTCACTTATATTTTACCTGAGTTAGAAAGATCGTTTGTTGGAGTTGCAGCAGGCTTAGGACAGCAAACCTAAATAAAAAAACAGAAAACACATTACAAATATTTGTCTGAATGTAATACAATAGTTTGAAAAATAAAAAATGGAATCTATTGTAGAAGATGACTACTTTTTCGATTCAAAATTATGTACGGGCAACCATGTTTAATATTATATTATTTTTTATATACGAGTATAGTTATGTTGGAGTACCGTATTCCAAACTTTGTTATACTCATGTATATTCATTTATTTAATAAATACAATCAATTTGTTATTTTTTTTTAAAAGTACATGGTAATAAAATTTTATTTAAGGTTTATTGAAAGAAATTTGGATATTTTTTGTTATCTTTAATGAACTTAATATTATTGGAAATACTCTGCGAGGCGAAAGCGGTGTTGGATCAACTCACGGTTATGTTATACTAGAGTGGCAAAAACGGCCAAAGACGCCAGTTTATGACTACACTATAAAATAATTTTGTAAATTTTTGTTTTGATTTGATACGATGAATTCATATGTATATAAATAATTTAATTATATTTTTAAAGCGTGCCTTCTTCTAAATTCGGTTATTCCATTCACTAGCGCAGCCGCAGCAAGCAGGAAGGCGCAGGCCTTGGACTGGTATGTTAATTCTGATTTAATTTATAATTATGTGCATATACGATAGATTTGAATGTTCCATGCACTAGCGAAACCGCAGCAAAACGCAGGGCGCTTAATGTCGGTATGTAGAATGCCCATAAAATGCCTAGGCATGATTGAGCAGTGTATTTTTATGAATTACGCTTCCACTGCCCCACACTTTGTATGTTACATATTGTTTCGCTTATAAACAAAAAAAATTTCGACATTAAATGTGATGATTACGGTTGAGGACCACTTGTCAACCTGACTACCAATAGCATATAGGGAGCTCGGGTCCAAATTGACGAAAACAGATTTGAGAAATGGAGAGGGTTTACGATTATAAATGCGCCCAAAAGTGATTGTGACGTAGTTGAAAGGATTATTGTGTCTACAGCTAAGGGGATGAGCAGAAGTGAGTTAACTATAAGCCGCTCGTCGACCCTGATGGGACCCACACGCAAAGGAATAATTACAACAACCCGTCAACATAGGGAATACACTTTTCAGAAGGTAATTGCATTTATTCAATAAGCACATAAAACTTGCGTTTTTCTTACTTCTTGTGACATCTTACGTTTACATGTGGCAACACCAAAATTTAAAGTGATTGGTTTGGAAACCAAAAAGCAGGCTTAAATTTAAGCGCACTTTAATATAAAATTTCTCAAAAACTGCAGTGGTTTCGGTTTTTGGTCTCTGAAAGCGGGTCGAACGCTTTAATTATCTTTATCTCCTTCCTCCTATCCTTTCTCCCCAATTGTGAAACATCATACTCCATCATACTCCGCCATGTAATTTTAATGAACTTTGAACCTAACCTAAGAATAGTCGCCTTCGAAAGCGAAAATATTTTGCTTTGCCCCGAACTAACTTTAGTACGAGAGAGTGTGTGAAAAGAGTACATTTATATATGGTATATAAGTATTTGCCGTCTCTCCTTCAACCGCTTGAGTTATCGTTAACAATATCTCTGGTTGACGGCTGAGAGCGGGCGTCGGTCTTAAAGCAAGTGGCTCGCTATATAAATGTCAAAAATTTAAACTTATTCGCCTTGCGAGGTTGTGAGCTTGATTTGGACCCGCCATGTAGAAACAGCCTCCAATGAAAAGTTTTACAACTCCCGTTCTGATGACGACCCCCACAAATATTTTAAGGATCACGATTTGATGCCAAGCACTCAGCTGGTTCCTCGAAAGACTAAAATCTGATATCACCACCGTCCAAGAAGCACGATAGACGGGACAGAGACGGAAATGGGAAGATCTTTTTGACATCGACTACAGCGACTGTTTAAAGGAGCCCAAATTTGGTGGATGAACGTCCCGCCACAATACGCAACAAAGAGAAATTTTTTAACACCACGCTAATTTGCATCCACGCCCCTACGATGTGGACAAGATTGCTACGATGTGAAAATCGTGCCACAGTAGGCAAAGAGGATATCTTCTGCACAACTGTTGAAAAATTTAGCCTCCACAACGAAACATCCTCAAATTGGTTGACGCTGATCAACTTCCGTAATATGGTTGTCTGTTTATCTTGAAGAACCAAGGATACGCACCCATATCTGTGTATCAAAGAAAGTCTCTCATCACACACGTGGAAGGTTCGAAGTCGAATAGCTGCAATCAAAACAGACATCCGAACGGTTTCATACTCGATTTGGGCTCCTGATATCTGAGAGCGCTCATCAGCAACTCGGTATGAGGAAACTTTGAGAAGGAAATTCAAGCTCCCTACGTACATCTAGACACTATTGGTTTTCGAAAAAGGCCTCAAAACAAATTTGGTACGATGAGGATTGCGATGCCATAGTAGAGAAAACAGACTGCCAAATGTGCAGACATAAACGAAAGAGGCCGAGAACCGTGATTACGAAGCGATTGAAGATGTACGACAGCTTACTGAAGGTTTCAAGACCGGACCCAGAGGGGTGATCTAGTGACGAATTTCCAGGGTATACTGAATTTATGGAGGCAGGCACCGATGGCAAGCTTGCTTTGCCCAATCCACAAAAAAAGCTATCTCAAAGTCGGCGTCAATTACCGTGGAATAAGCCTCCTTAATATCGCTGGCCTGTCAGTCTGGCCTTAGACCTGGTAAATCAATCATTGACCAGATGTTCACCAAGCGCCCAATCTTAGAAAAGATCCGTGAAAAGAGGATGGACTCTTCGATTATAAAGCACCGTGAGTTCTGCTTTCTCCAGATTAGATAAAGAACCGAAGCGAATGGGTTTGATAGTCTCTCGTCAGCAAACAAACAGTCGTCGCTTTCGCGACTCGTCTCCCACCTTGCTGTTTACAGTTATAACTTTAAAGCCTTAGATAACTTCGTCTATATTGGAACCAGTAATAACACCAAAAATAACGTCAGTCTGGAAATCCACCGCAGAATCAATCTTACCAACGAGTGCTGCTTTGGACTGAGTATACAATGTTGCTTTAAGTAATACTTATGATCTCCTACGTGTTCGGCACGCGAATACCACAGATGATGGAAAGATGATCTGTAATGATCTGAATGATGATCGAGAAACGCGGCGAGTTTTGGTGAAGGCTGAGATATGGAATGTTGGTCTCGTCCTTTTGGAGACGGTGACCCGCAGTTAGGGTGTACTCATTGAGTTACTCATATATGAACATGTAGGTGTGTAGATATGTGCATACGCTAGCATGCTTATATGCATAAGTGCAATTCTCAGGCGAGCAGTGAAGCATTGAACTCAAAGTGTATATTAAGTGCTAAACTCAGGGTGCTTGGATGAGTTCTTGCTTGGATGATATTCGACAGCCTGCATTATTGCATGCAATTCCGAGAGCACCCTCTCGCCCTAAAGAGTTCAATAAATTCTCGCCGTAATACATGGAATGGTCTCCCCCCACCATATCGGATATCTCATGCTTTCTAATCTAATTTTTCCTATAGAGTTCACACTCGAACTCCATTAAGAGCTAAAATGCTCTATGAATAAATTGAAAGGTATTAATAATCATCACCTTCCCCATTCATAAACATCCTCTCTCTCCTACCCCCCAAACAGGATAACATTGTTGTTGATTTCACATAAACATTTTTCGACAAGCGAGCAGAGCTCAAAAATAACGAGCAGAGAAATGGCGAATCGAAAAATGATGCAATACTTACATCAAAGGAGTGCGGTATTCACAGATGTTTTTGATATAATAAATAGGATAGCGACGCGGCCGACGAAATCAAATCCCTTCCATTTCACTCTTTGATTAAATCCAAAGCCATAATATTTTACAATGTAGATAGTTTAAATCATGTGTGAATAATTTAAAATCAGTAGAAAGCGATATGGTAGTAGCCGAATAGTTTTTAGACAAACAACAAAGACGGTTTGCAAACACTATTAACTAAGTCGTTTGAGGAAAGGAAAGTTCAAGTAAACCGAACTATAAATACGTAACCATAAAAAACATTTTTTAAGACCCATTTTCTGCATGTTAAACTGAGTTATTAGTTATTAATTGATTAAATTTATAGTGAATCGAGTTATAAGTAAGACTTTTTGGTATAAATGGGTACTTGGGTCACTTCGCGAAATAAAGTTAAAATTTCTTTCGCAAAAACCTTCTCCTATTAAATACAAATAATTGGAAAAAGCTCACCTAAATAGGTCCGATAAAACTATCCTTTTTCAACAATTTGAATAAACTCGTACAAAATTGGGAAGTCGATAAAAGTTTCCTATTGACATCTATAAACATTAATTCGAATCATAAAAACAATTTCACGAGCAGATCGGTCCGTGGTTTATTTCTCTGTGAGTGAATTATTGTTGCGTTAAAATTGCTAATTGTTTAACATAAACGTCCAATAACTCATGCAATTGGTAAAATGTTATAGAAATGAAATGAAGATACTGTATTGGTTCCAGATATTTTAAAGCTTGTTCATCATCGTTTTGCTCGTTCTACCTCAAATATCACTACTGCAAGTGCAAGCGGTGGCCGCGAGTGGTTAGCATTGCTTACTGCCATTCGGAAGGCCCGGGTTCAAGTCCTGGAACGAACAACATCCAAAAAGTTATAGAAAATTAACTTAAATAAAATAAGTTAATTTTCTAGTTGCGGTCGTCCCTCGAATGAGAATGTCAACCCCTCCGAGTGTATTTCTCTGTTGTTGCAAAATTTCACCAAGGTGAAAATGTAAATAGTGTAATTTCTATGTGATGGATACGCCGACATTAATTTGTAATAATACAAGAGTTTCCCAATTCTTCCCTTGATATCGTCTGCCTGTTTATGATTGTTCCCCAAAACGCCCTCCATAACTCCTCTTAATTAAAATCATGCTTCGAGATAATCGTGTCTCAGTGACTTTATGAAGACTTGGCGTACTAATTTTCGTATTTACGGTTATTATAGTACACTTTTTCAAAATGAATTTAAAATTGCCTATTAACCGTTAATGGATAATCGACGTTCATCGGCATTGGTTTTCATTCCCAAGTTACGTACCATATTTGGGATGTCATTGCAGTAAATAAACGTATTTTCTTTCTTAAGCTTATAAATTTTCTTGGAATCAGCTTGACATTTCCGGTGTGATGTGGTGTTGACATTTTGTTGTGTGAGATTTCTGCTCTTCAAAAATGTGGTCGAAAATTCCTCATTCCGTGCCGAAAAAACCCAATTTAGCTACAATGTAATATATTTCGTTTGTGTTCGGCGCATAGTCTTTATCAGTCAAATCGGATTCATCAAAATGAAGTCTATAGACTACTACTCTTCATTTCTCGGTGAACATGTTTTTTCTTTCCTGATTTTCAGTTTTCGGCACTATATGACTACAAACATGTCAAATGTCGTCAAGTTTTGGTCATCTTCAATGTTTGGCATCTACCCGTACTTTGATTCGATGCGCCGAAAAATGTTGCACTAAGTTAGTTTCTTAAATTAATTTAGAATTTAGAAAAAAAATTCTACATCAACTCAAATAATTAAGGGGCACACCTAGTGTAATGGCCTAAAAAAGGTGACTTTTGGGAATTTTTACTAAAAAAAATACTTTATCAATTATTTCGTAATTTTAGGAATATATTTATACATGTTTCAAGAATATATAGTGAAATTTATGAAGAAAAAAATTAAATATTTTTTAAGTTATAGTCGATCTCCAACGGCGCGAAAAAAAGGTCCTTCACTGCTGCAGTGATTCAGGCCTTCTCCGTGGATGAAATCTAAAAAAAAAATTCTTTATTAGCTAATATTGTCTGTACAATGACCTACGATAAAAAAAAATAAAAATTGACAATATGGCGGCGTTTTAAAAAAAATAGTCGAGTTTTACCCAAAATTTTGGTTGTTTTTGGCCTGCCAAAATTCGATTTTTTGATCAGATCAAAAATCGATAGGTCATTGTACGGAGAACTATATATAGAACATGTAAAAAAATCGATAGTGATCGGATCATTTGTTTTAGAGTAATCACTGCAGCGTTTAGAGATAAAATGAGCGTTTTCACTCGTAGCTAATGAGACTCTTTAGCTGCCGAGCGGCTGCTCTTTAAATTGCTATCGTACAAAAACTATTTGAGATATCGATTTGAAATTTTAATATGTTTCTTTTAAAGGTGTAATCTACCGAAATATGAAAAAAAATATCAAAAATTTAATTCAATTGAAATTTTAATCAAGAGGAAGTCATATACAAACCGATCGGGAACTGAAAAGTAAACATGACATGTGCTAGCGACGGCAGCAACCATTGCTACACCGAGTCAGAAAGCTATGCTGAAGGCCGAAAAAATTATAAGTAACACCGATATAGAAGTGCTGGTCCGAAACAAGCAACGCTTGTAAGCATACCGATCGCCCGATGCGAAAATCCGATTAAAGATGGCAGAAAACAAGGTAAATGAGAATAATGAACTTATGAAGAATTTTATAAAGCATTTGTCTCCCATCGCATTGAAAGCTAGCAAAAACCCTAAGCCACATACGAGAAGTGAATGAAGCACCATTGAGACTTCCTAACCCTTCGTGGGCCAGAACGGATGAAAAAAGGCGACTTGTTTTGCGGAGTACTTCAGTAAGGTATTTCAACTAAACACTGCTGACAAAAAAATGCACATTTTTCACCGAACCATACTGTTACTTGCGGAGCATCCGTGTCTGATCTAAAAAACATTGTTACCGCCTTAAATCACAAAAAATATCCAGGAGACGATCATATCTTTCCAAAAATGCTAAAAGAATTGCCAAGCATTGATCTCCTTTTTTTTTTTGAAAAGCTTTTCAGTGCTAATTTAACGCTAGGATGTTATCCACAAATATGAAAAAGTCGCCACATAGACCAACTTGTTGCCTTGTCTATCCAAACTTTTCGAAAAAGTGCTGTTATCAAAAATTACTCATTTTCTCCATCAAAATGATATTATTCCTACAAATTAATTTGGTTTTCCCGAAAAACATGTCACAATTAAACAAGTAAATCGTATAACAAATAAAATGAGGAAAGCTTTGGAATTCAGAGAGTATTGCTCCGCACTTTTTCTTGATATGGCGCAAGCATAACATTAATAAAATCATTACCCAGCATGTTCCCTAATATCCTTGAATACTATTTATCCAACAGGCGATTCGTGGTAAAAGTTAATGAATGCATAACAGAGGAGTACCCTATCACGACAGGTATTGTTCTTGGACCAATATTGTACAACTGTACACCGCAGATATTCCTATAAGTGGCAAAATAATTTCGTCAGCATTTGTGGATGATACTGCCATACTAAGTCGACATATGTAAATGCTCCATTACAACCACAAAAGTATTTCAACAGCTAAACTTATTAAAGAATGGCTAGCAAAATGGCGCATAAACATATATGCCTCACTGTTAAGCTCAACAATGTGTTGATTCCGCAAGCTGACGAAATTACATACCTCGGAATCCACTTGGACAGGCTCTTAACCTGGAGACGACATATCGCTGCTAAAAAGCAGAAGCTTAAACTCAAATCTGTCATTTTTCAATGGCTTTTAAAAAAGAAGTCTGGACTTAGCCTTAGCAACAAAGTCCTCTTGTATAATGCATCAGTAAAACAGATATGAACGTACGGAATCGAAAACGTTAAGAGTAATAACGGGCACACCATGGTACATGCGTAATGAAAATATCCATAGTGATGTAAATATACCTACCATCAAGGAAGAGATAGAAATAGCAGTCAAAAAATAACACCCTGGCCCATGCAATAAGTTAAACCCGCCTTCGGAGAAGAGGTAAAGCGGTCTTCTAAAGAGCAACGTTAAGCTAGCAGCCCATTCCTACTAATGGGTTTTAAGTTTTAGTTTAGTTTAAGATTTTATTACTTATTGTTAGGCTTCCGATGCCGAAGCAGATTCAATAAATTAATATTAATATTAAAAAAAATTGTCTTCGTAAAAACAGTGATTTTCAGAAGTGGTTAATTCATAAAGATTACAAAAAATAACCACTTTTCTTTCCGCCTATTTGTGCGATTTACTATTTAAATACTAAATAAAGCTTTGAGTTTTATTTTTTGGAACGGAGGTGGTCCTTAATTTAAGAATTTGTTCCAAAGACTTTGAGGAAGATGATTCAATTTAAATTGGGTAAGAGTTATATAGATGGCTACATGTGTATTTTTAAAACTGGATTGGTGTGCAAAAAAGGAAAGATTTAATTTATTAAGTTAACGATTTTAAACTATTAGTTGTGGTTGTATTAATTGTTGTGTGGAATCATTGGTCTAGAAAAGTGCCAACTTAAAAACAATCGCCCAAAGAGAATATATTGTTTTCAGTTGAAATAAAGTTTTTGTACTTACCAATATACTTTTACCGGATGAACCGCATCTACTGTTCCTTAAAAGCATTATCTCGTGATCTTCCAAGTCAGATTTCATAGCTATGTTATATAGTTCTGTACATGATTGCAGTAATTTGCAATCACCCAATAGCCCATTTGCCGTTTGACAGCTTCCATAATCTTCTTCTGGAGGTAAGTTGAAATATTAAATTGAGAAGGTAAATAATGTTAGAGTTAAGATCCAATAACGGAAGTAATTTAAAGTTTTTAGTGCTAATAATTATAACAAGTCTTTTGACTTCAAAAATACTGATTTCGATCTCAAATGCAAATCAATTAGATTATTTAATTTCAAGTTTTGGATAAATAAGACTTTTTTTAAATAAATTTTGGGTGCTACCAATTCGCCTGAACTTCCGTGATTTATGCCGCAAGCATTGCCATCTCAGGTGAATATTTCCTTCAATAGAAGTGTTTATTACGGTGGTTGGGGAACGATGTTCGCGGAATTTTTAACGAAATGGTCACGAAGAATGAGTGCTGTATGCATTATCGTGATGCAAAAACACAATCGTAACTAAAACACCAATGATGACATTGACATAAAATTCGACGTAGATGTTAATAACAGTGCTAACAACATTAAAAAAAGAATTAAACCGAAATATTAAACGCGCGAAGATCAAATTAAAAATTCACCCTGTTTTTCGCTTACAGAGTTCTATACATACATCGCTATCACAGGCCATAAAAAGCGTCAAACAAAATTGTTATTATTGAGCAACTAATACTCCCACACTTGGCGATTCGAATATTTTGAGCAAAACTTTTCAAAGTTTTCTCAGAATTTTTTTCTTCAATTTTAAATTTATTTATGCAAAGTGAAAAATTCATTGAAATGCCAAAGAAAAATAAAATTGAAAATTTAAGTATTTCAAAAAAAATTTGGTCTGCTGGGCTGCTCGCATTATTTGGTATCTAGCAGGTACAGGTAGGTACACTGTTATAGCAATGGACTGAAACTCTGCTTTTCTTTTTTCGATTATTACAGATATAAAAATATAGAAAGCAAATTTAAGATGAACAAATATAAATAGTTATCGATATATGTTTATATTCAATATGGATACAACTATATATATACATATACATACACGAAAGTAATATTTCACGAGTAAGGTCCGTGTATGTGAATATCGATTCTATTTTGAAATGTAATTCGCTTTAAATAACAAAATATTTCTCAAGTGTGTTCGTTAGTTGAAAAGCCAAGCTGGAGCACTGTGCACAAAAGATGTCACGTTTTGTAAATAGTCACCAAACTCGTTTATTTCTGTACGTCAAGCTCCTCCGTGAGTAATATTTCCAGGACCCGCCCAGTCAATAGTTTTATGTATTATGAAACAACACGATTTTTTCACAACTCCAATTGCTGTGTTCAAGCGTCCGAACAAACGCCTTCGAGCAGTAAATATACCAAAACTGTTCTCGATTACTAGGCGTGTCCTTGACAGACAATACCTGAATATCCTCTTAGGGCCGCTCTTTCGAGTGTCTGTTAAAATTTAACATCTCTTTAAAACTGGTTTCGTTTTTTCAACTGTCTGTTTTAGACAGTCAAAGCGCTGATTAATAATTTATTTTTTCGACAGGGACAACTTTACCGTTTACAAACAGAAAACAGTTGATTTACAAATTTACTTAATTTCTATTGCCTTAATATATATAAATTCATCATGAGCTTGATATTATATATAATTTGTATATTTGAATATTTGAAAAATTATAAAATGTTCTCGTTATTTTTTTTTACTTTATTTGCGTTTAGAACATCTGATTTACGTTATTCTTTAATTCCTAGGGAATTAAATGGTTTAGTAGAAGATATATCGAAAAACTAAGCAACCAAATTTTTTACTCGGAGCCTTATTAACGAACGGAGACTATTGTTTGCCTTGTTCATGCTATAATGTAAAGTTAAAATAAAAAGAAAATAAAAATTACATATCTCAACCTTAAGATTAATTGCACTTAATGCATCAACGCGAATCTAAGTTAGAGTATAATTAACTTGCCGACAGATTGTAAATAAATAATAAAAAAAAAAGAATATTTCTACTACTGAGCTGTTTTCAAATTCCTAAATTAAAATCCCGAAGGCATTAAACGGTACTAAAAGAGATTCCATTAAAAAAAAAGAACAACTGTTACAATTTCCTGTTTTCCCTTATATCTGCAGTAAATCATAAATTTAAACATAACTCAAATACATAGCAGATAAGTCGTAAAAAACTACGCAATGTTTCAGTCAACGCAAAATAATTATTTTTTTAGTTTACAAATTTATTAAAATTTTCTTACAACTTAGGCACAAGTAAAGTAAGACAAATACCACTCAATATTACATTATTTACAGAAAATCAATTTTACAATTATGTATATTTGTATATACCTATGCAGGTTGCAATTATACGGAATGTAAATTTTTGTCAGTACATATACGTATTTACATATAAATCAACATTTCCTATGAATGCATCTTTAAGGGTCAAACTTTAAAATTGATAAGATGTTGTGAAAATCCAGTACTTTAAATGAACAAAATACATACATATGTACAGATTTTTTTCGTTATTACTTGTACAATTTACCTCCAGTAGCGCCACGAAGTTTACAAATAAAAATACTGAGAATTAATAGTCGTATATCCTTTTTTAGATCCATTTTCGTTACCCGACAATACACTAGAATATTCCTTTTTATTTATAAAAGATGAATATTTAATATTACGTGTACAACCGTAGTTTTCGAATCGTGTATGAAGCAAGACTGTTTGCTTGAATCGAAAACGATTTAAATCAACCTCATAACAATAAGTGGAATGTGTGGGAAATGAAGCAGTGATTGAAGCGCATTGATAAGCAAAAAGCGACATCTGTAGGATTTTATAGACCATTCAGAAGAATTGAAATTTTTCATAAAGTTAATACCCTAGTGCCCGTAAACCGTTTTTAGTGGGCCTATTACAATATTTCAATTATTGGAGTTCAAAAAATTAAAAAAAAAAAGAGTGCGCACTAAAATACTTTTAATTGATTGTAACGTAAAATCAGGACACAGTCAGCATCGAAATAAAACTGGGGATAAGCGCCTGTTAATACTCTCGTCGTACTTTCCGCATGACGATACTCTGCCGCCGGTCCGGGTACAGGAAACTGTAAAGGAGGCGAATCGGAAAAAGCTTCCAATAGGAGTTGGAGGCGATTCTAACTCTCCCCACACAGTCTGAGATGCCAGTGACACAAACATACGAGGTGAAACTACTGGATTTTATATTAGGAAATGATCTTGCAATATGCAACCGTGGGAACAAACCGACTTTTAAAACCTCTTTTAGGAAAGAAGAAACTTTTCATCGTCAATGAACCACCTTCTCTGAACATCTATTAATTTCTTTTCAACTCACTATGAGGACACCATCGATCGCTTCGTACGGAAATAGGAAGAGGACTGACTAACATTTAGGAGAGTCCTGGCAGCATACATCGTATACGACGCTTCTCACGATAAGCTCCGCTTATCGTCAAGAATTGATGAAGCGGTGACATCTTGCACAAGGACTGCTTCTCCGGCGAGCTTGACTCATTGTCGAAAATTGATGAAACAGTAGACTTTTACACCAAAGTATGTATGACGCTTTTGAGGCCTCATGCCCTCTATCCATCCCATCTAAAAAGAAAAGACCAAAATAGTGGAATAACGAAATCTCTAAGCTAAGAAAAAGAAGCCGAAAACTCTTCGGGCTCATGGCATTCTTATAAGGCATGCATAAATTCTTTTAAAACCTCTATAAGAAAGGCAAAACGTGATTCTTGGAAGGCCATTGACGGAAATTCAGAAGGTAACTGACTAAATATTGTGGGGTCTCTTCTGAGAAACAGGGTAATTTTCGCATAGATGGTCAGTGCCAGCATTACCAGACACACCACAAGAGGCACACTTCAAGAAGGAACTTTGTCGCCATTGCTGTGGTGTCTAACAGCGAACACGCTGATTAGGTAATTGCACAACTCAGAATGTGGTGTGGTGGCATACGCTGATGACTCTGCCCTAAAAGCGACACAAACTACATCGGTTGTTATCCTACGCCGTCAGTGTTTAGTGGCCAGCACTCGATAAAACTACTTTCAGGAGCAAACTAGAGAGAGTTCAACGATCGGTGGCTATCCTGGTAACAGAGGCATCTCTTCTCAACATCCTTGCTCTGGACCTATACGGGAGACTACAAGCGGGCTGCAACGCAGTCAGACTGAATGCTGCTCAACCTTGGAAGATTTGCAATATAGGACACACCAAAAAATTATCTCTAGCAGAAGTGCCAAAGGAGCTACACTACACTACCTCCTGCATGTGCTTCGAAAATCGTTTCTCCATGAAAAACCCCAACAGTTGCGAGTGGGAAACTGCCAACGCCCCCGACCAGGGAGCCATAGCCATCTTCACAGATGGCTTCAAGCTTGATGGAAAAGTGGAGCGCGGAATTTATTCTCCTATGCTTTCATTAAATATGAGCATGAGTCTACCAGACCACTTTAGCTTTTTGTAGGTGGAACTCTTTGTCATCATGGAGGCTGCTAATTTGTTTCATAAATCTATGGCAACAGGACAATTGGTTACAATATACTCCGACAGTCAACCTGCTATCAGAACTCTCCAATGTAATTGCACCACGTCGAAAGTGGCCATAAAATGTAGGAACTTACTCAGATCACGAGTAACGTGACCAAACAGCTATGGCCGAAGCTGGACGCGAAAAAATCCTAACATCTTATCTTTCTAGACCAGTTCTGCATTAGCATAACGACGGGCATAATAACTGGACAATGTTTAATGGGGCTTCACGAGGAAAGAACGGGATATCATTCTAATGGTTTCTGCCGCAGATGCAGGGATGAAGAAGAGGAGGAGATCAATGAGCACTACCTCTGCCACTGTCCAGCCTTGACATCAGCGCAATACAAATTTCTGGGGAAACATTTCTTCGATTGTCTCGCTGAGATAGCCTCAGCGAATATTAGAAATCTCGTTGCCTTTATAAGTGTGCTGGCAATTGCAGCCGCATCAACTCAACTCAACTTAACAATCATCAGCCATGTTATTGTTTTGTTAGCATTGGAATGATTTCCCTAAATTATTTTTGACAACGCCATTTCATAGTATCATTGTCGCGTCGCTACTCGCAGGTAAGGCTCTAATGGGTGCTGGGTTCTTCAGTTGACTTGTATGACTAAATGAGCCTTTTAAATACTTTCAAAAATTGGGCTACACAGTAGTCCCGGTTAAATATCCACGGTCAAAAGCCGTGCTTCAAATTCGTAATTGCAATAATGGCGAATGAGTTTCAAAGAAATTTAATGATTTTGAATGCTTGCATACTAAACATATGTTTTGTGACATTTAATTAGTTACAACGAATATTCTCCGTGTAAAAAGTGCAAGTGTGACTGTGCTGAATTTTGTAATAATATATAAATACATTTGGCGCTTTGTAACCACTGTAGTAGGCCGAACTCCTTTTCTAGTTTTTGGTGTTGCGTCTTCCTGTTTTTCAAAGAAATGGAGGGACATACAGCAGAGAATCTACAATAATGAGGAGGTCCAAAAAAAAAGAAAAAACAGCTAACAGAGTTTGAAAATTAACATTAACGTAACATCATTTTGAAATGATATATTTTGTCTTTTATTAATATTTTTTTACTATTGTTATTTTTTATTTATAAATATCGAGTCATGACTGCGATTGATGATTTGTTAAGCGTAGATATTTAAAACTGTTCAGCTATAGAAAAAAGAGATCGAAGATGCTGGAATGAAAATTACAATTGTAACACAATAGGCGAAACGGTTCATTCTATTTATAATTTGTTTTACATGACCTTAATGGTATGAAGAGGGCGCCTAACATTTCTTTACGAATTGCGATAGTAGGTGGATTTAGGAGCTTTAAACGGTTGGTATATGTAGGAAGATTTATCGTAGAGTTCCATCGGAAATGTCTTAACGCAAAAAGTTAAAATTGTTTTTGAGCAAACTCCAATTTATCGGAATTAATCTGATAATTGGGGGTCTATATTAGTAAACCATATTCCAATATTGGCTCCACCAAAGTCGTATAAAATTCTTTTGACCATCTTTTAACAAAGTCAAAAGCCTTTAGCCTCTATAATTCTCAATATGTAGAGAACATACCTTGTTTGAGAGAGAAGTTAAAGGCAAATACAGATTTTGTGCACAGCTTTTCCGAAAGCATGTAGGATTCATATCTGGACCATAACTGAAAGAATGTTTTAGATTCATCAAATGATATAATATATCTTCCTCACATATAGTTGCTGAGTTAATTATTGTTGTTGGACGAAAGTAATGCTGACAGACGAACAAACCACTTCGAGTGTTAGTTGAATAATTCGATTTAAAAAATTGTGCCAACATATTGAAAACACTAAGACTGGCACATGACATAGTAGATTTATACAATATTTCATGGCGGACGGAAACGTAGAAAGCTTTCGTTTGATAATAATTAAATAATTATAAAAAAATAATAAAAGGAATTATGAAATAATATATATTAGCGAGAGGAATTTAAACTCACTTAAAGCAAAAAAACCAAAAATATAAATATACGCGCGTACCTTCACCACATAAACAAAATTCAAAAAAAATATAGAAAATTTTTAACCAACATTACATCTATATGAAAGGATATTTTTATTTTTTTATTATGTTATATTAAAAAATATACAACAAATATTTGTAAATACAAAAGCAATAGTTATAAAAAATAAAAGAAATTATGAATATGTACATACATACATATATTAATTAGCTAGAGGAATTGGCACTCGCGTAAAAGCAAAAACTTAAAAACATCTATTCAGAACTTAACCTCTAGCAACTACACCACAGCACTATACGAAAATTTTACGAATATTCTGCACCTACATATACCGAAATAAAGAAATATGGCATAGTTCTTCTTTTTCTAATGCAGTTAAATATGTTAAAGAATACGGGTATGTTCTGCCCGCGTGCGTACTTCATCCTCAACCGATTTCGCTGATTTAAACAATGCTTGTGGTTCATGACTTCAATTATGTGCATTTATTTTTTAAAGCTGTAAAAGTGTTGGTTTAGCTAAATTTTAGTTATTTTTGTAATGGTTTGAACTTACTAAACTCTTTTAGATTTAAATACGAATTATATTCAGTGCTTGTGCAAAAAAAAAGAGAAAAAAACTGGACATTACAGCCCGTAAGCTATTTCAATGTACTCCTTTACGAAAATTTGTAATTCGGAATAATAGATACACATATGATATGCAAGTTAGGGTCATACATATTGCAAGCATCCCACGGTTAACAAAAATAATAATCCACTCACTGCTCACGAACACGAATAAATAAGTAGTGTAGCGATCAGTGAGACGTGTTCAAGATTAAGTCGGGTTACATATTATACACACATTTATACATAACAATTTTTGTAATTTTTCAGGCTTCCAGAGTCTCATATATTTGTTGGTACCATCAACGTGGGACACAAGTGGTGAAAAGCTATTGCTGTTTATTTTCTTACTCTCTTCATTGGAAGTAAATATATGTACATACACGTACATATGCACGTACATAAATATAAAGCAAATTAAACTAATTTAGGTTTTCAGATTTGATTTGTTCGAAATCGGTTAAAGAACAGTTAGTTCTACGTACGTATATATGGCAATATATCTATATGTATGTACATGAACATTTTTACACATACGCTTGTTTAGACAGATTACGAAGTT